CCTCCTGAATGGCACACACTGGACCTTTAAGTTTAACATATAGATATGAGAGTGGTATGAATTTTCTTATCTAACTCTGTGCCAAACAGCAAAAGATAACTCATTTTGGAAATGAAATGAATATATATACTATTTATCTATGAATTAAACACTGTTTGTTTTATAAATGTAAAGAAAGTTACAGCATGAGCAATGAACCCAAGGTAATTGACCTTTTTCACAGCAGCCATTTTCACATGAAATAGTAAGGTAAACACAGGTGTTACCAATGATACCAAGACTGACCGTTTGTGTTATGTGATATGAAAGCAGAAACAAATGCTTGTGGTAATATAGTGGTGTCAATGTAAAGTCTATCCAGCAGAGTGCGCTGTGATTTACAATACTGTGGCAGCACAGAGTACGCAAGTAATGTAGAAGAAGCTTATAGCAACATCAACTAGAATTGGTTCAAAAATTTTACTGAAATATTCTTAGTAAAGTTATTTGTGTTAAGAAAACGGCCTTCTGGTACCTTTGCCATGTTATATTGGTGCAAAATCGGTTCACAATCATTCCAAAAATCTCATGTCAGTTTGGTTCTAATACTAATTAAGGTTCTGTTCCACTGTTGTTGGCTCACTGGAAAGGCTCTGCTACACTAAATGGAATGGAGCCTTAATTGGTATCATTGTTTACCCTACTATTTCATGTCAAAATGGCTGCTGTGAGAAAGGTCTATATGTATTATGTATTCAGGCAGAATTTAAAAAAGAAACAAAAATATCAGAGCATTTAACAAAAGCTGATCACATGTAATGAGTAATGTATAAAATGACTGAATTGTTGGTTGTTAAAGGCTTCTTGATTTTGAAGTCAAGTGTACGATAACAAGTATTACACACCACACACTTCACAGCCATAATTTCATCCCTGTCACAGAACAATGTATCCTCCATTCACTGTCACCTCTGTGTTAAAGATGGACACAGCACCTTGAGGCGTGAGCTGTGGCCACCGTGCAGGGGCTCAGCTGTGATAGAGACCAGCGGGTGCTCTGACTGGGTCCAGCTGTGAGACTGCAGCTCCATACACATGCTCTTTATTACTCAGATAAAAGAGACTGACAGACATGAACAGCCAACGACCCAGTAATTTATAGGCAGCCTCTCTGCAGGGCTGGGCTGTGGAGAAAGAAAAATGTCAGCAGTGGGGATAAAAACCCTTTGTTATTACAGTCTGTCTGAATGCTGCTGCACAGTTCCCTATTTCAGCTGGGGGGTGGTCCGAGAACCAGCTGCTCATCGACCTGCCAGCATGTACGTAACTACTAGTAGGAGCAGTAGTTCTGGTCTGAAGATCCTGAACGCTGGTATTCTATTGTTTTAAGTGTGGGCATTTTTTTAAAATGTTGTTGTAGTTGGGCTTAGAAGAACATCTGAAATAGAACTGAAACCAATGAAACAGAAACCCATACAGCTTATTGTCTGTCCAAAATCAACTTCTTAAAACTCTAAACAGGCTCACCATATTCCCCTTTAGCCATGTTGGTCGGTTGGACCACTTTGGTCCACACTGAAATATCTCAACAGCTGTTGGTTGGATTGCTGTGGAAACAGAAACATTCATATCCCCATCAGGATGAATTGTCATCACTTCAGTGATCCTCTATATCAGGTTCTTAAACTTTTTTTAGTTAATGTACGCCCTTTGAAATATTTTTTCAGCCAATCCCCTGACCAGAGCAAAACCTTTTTAGTAGAAAAAAAGAAAGAGCTACAATACAGCGATGCACCATCAGTGTCTGATTTATTAAGAAATAAATCAGACTCATTGGTGCTCCCCTTCAGAAGCTGAAAAAAGTTCACGCCACAACCCCTCAATTTCTATCAATTATTACCAATGATAGGGTGAGCAAAGTTCAATTTAAGTGATTAAAGGTCGGCACAGTTGCATCAGCAAAATCTTGTTTATTTTCCCTACATAAATCCCATTCATTCGTTCCACTCTATATGTTTCCTGGTCACTGAATAATCACTATAGATTCCTGTTTCTAACTGAACTAACCGCCTTGACAGGAAGACTGGCACTCAAAGCCCTACTGAACCAAAGTCTACACACCAAAAAAGGCAAAAGCCAGGCTAATATTTAAAATACAGAAACATCACTTTTCACCCTCCAATACTGTCCTCCCCCTCCACAGGAGCACCAGGAGAGCCAGCATCCGACCCAGCTGCCCCCAGAGAGCGTGCCCATGACCGTGGACGCTCCCATGAGAGGAAACACCATCACTCCTCGACAGACAAGCAGCGTTACTACTCCTGCGACCGCTACTGCAGCCGGGAACACTGCCACACCAAATCCGCCACCGCCAGCTGTGCCGCCTCCCCCAGCGAGGGGCAGGAAACCAGCAACAAGCAGGTGGGAGGGCAGACGCGTGTAGAGTAGGGCCAGACAAGGCTTTAGACCAGGTAAAGAGGATGTCTGAAGGGTTTTCAATGAGTTTGGAGTTCACATGACAGTGTTCACTATGTTTGGGTTCTCTTTTCCCTCAGAATATCAGTCTGATCAGGATAAAAAAGAACTCTATTTAGACCAAAGGTAAAAATAGTAAAATAGTCCTTTAGACCTGTGTGCAACTTGTTTAAAATGATAACCTTATAATCAGCTGAGTCTAGTTTCATGTACTGGCAGAAAGACCAGCAACAGTATGTGGACTGCTAGTGTTAACAACACTGAAAATGTGGAGATTATTAAACATAATGAGCTTTGATCTGATGTGATAAACCACAGTTTAACAGAACATGACATTTCAGTTCACAAACACTCACTGAATCAGCTTTATAATTTTGTTTAAGTGGCTTATGTATGTAACCAATTCTAATTCTGCTTGCATATCAAATAACAAGCATAAACCTAAATTATATTATATAATATAGATTACTCAATTGTATTAGGGTTATTAACAATACTTTATTTGTCCTATTGAATTTAACTTAATTAAATTCAGTTCAATGTCATTGAAATTAATTGAATTCAATTGAATAATAAATAACAGTAAAACTCTGTCCTTTAAACAACACAACTGTATTACATTATTCAGAAAGATTGCAAGAAAAGTAGTATTTCTCTGTGCCATAGAGCTCCATTGTTACCCAAAACATCAGTGATCCACACTGTTGCACTGGGTGACATGTTCCACACAGTGTAGTTTATTTGGACTCATTCCAACATACATTTTCCTGCTGCCCCAAATACTCACTAGAGCACCAAATATGGTTTAATCCGCAGCTCAAAATAGTCCCCAACGAATGTACTATTGCCTCCTGATGAGTAACATTTGATAAAAACTACTACTGTTTCAGGAAACTACTGAAACTTTTTAAAAATGAAACACTATGTTTTGTTTTTAAAAAATTACATCTTTAGTAGGAACTAACAGACCAACAGAATTGACCTCATGAAACATTTCTGTATTTTCAAGGCTCAACACACTAAGTGTCTGACCCACGAATTTTAACCCAACATGCACCAAAAGCAGCATACCTGTAACGTTGTTTGTGCGTGCTAAGTCATTTAAAAAACCAGACACTTTTAGTGAATTTGGTTAATAAATTGATATATATTATATATAAAACATAAATTGCTTGTTTCAGCCTGATGAAATGAGATGCCATCATTAGCATAATCTACGCCCCTAAAATTGGCATTGCAGTTTATGATTTCAAGATCTGTGTAGTATTCCTATAATATTACTGCAGCAATGCATTTGGTGGGTTTAGTAGCTTTACAGTCAGTTTAATATACTCAATTCTTGTATATAATTTATAATTATGTATATAATATAATATAATATCTCTACATATTCCCACAGATACTAATTTCTTTGTTATCTGGATTGTTTTGTACCTTCTGGCTTTATCCAGCTCACCATTAGTTTTATATTACTGTATATCATACACATTAAGATGGCTGATCCAGCAGTGCAGCCTTAGAGCAGCATTGTACAGATAGTGTGTTGGATTCAGACTTTGTTTCCCTTTACTATTACTGCGACCCCTCTGCATGCTCTTACTTTACTACTACTGTCTCCTCTGTCTGCCTTTAGTGCAGCCTCTCATGGCCTTTCACTTCTTTTCCCACTTTCTCTTTTCATCATTTTCCATCCATTTTGTCTATCTGTCGTTACCTTTCCATTAGTGCTTGTTCTTTCATTCTATCTTCTCCGTCTGTGTTCTCTCCTTCATTTGTTCTCTGTCATCTTTCATGTCATCACATATCACATTTTGGTGTCTTTTCTTTCCTTTCCTGCCACCGGTGGCCCTGTCCCCATTTCCTTCCATTTTCCTTTCCTCTCTTACATATTTTCCTCATCGTTCTATCGTTTCAAATTGCTTGTCCAATTTTCATCTAGGGCAGTGGTTGGGTTAAAGGCAGCCCAGTGGCACTGAGCTCCAGTTCTAGCACGCCAAGCCGCGGACGTCGGCAGCTCCCCCAGACCCCCCTCACCCCGCGGCCCGGGGTGGCCTACAAGACTGCCAACTCATCCCCCGTGCACTGTGTGTCCAGCCAGACCTCTCTGAGTCCCGGCCGGCTGAGCCGCGGCCTGTCGGAGCACAATGCTCTCCGTCACAGCGGCTCGCGCCACTTCCCCTGCCCCGTTACTCGCATCAGCTCCGAGCCCTTCCTGGGCCAGGGCCACGACGAGGCCCTGGGCAGCCTTTACAGCAGCCTCCGGGACCAGCTGGACGTCTTCCAGGATGCGGCGTCAATGTCACCCAGCCCCTGTGTCGGATGCTCATCTCGGACCGCACTGCCTCGCATGATGGGAGCCCTGCTTCCCGCTCCGCAGCAGAACCTTGGGGTGCCTAACGGGTACCACTTAAGCTTTGGGGGCAGCACCAGCCCAGGCTCTGGCGTCAGGGCACCCAGGTATTACCAGGAGGCAGAGGAGGACGAATGGTGCTAGCATGGCTTTAAACCAACCTTTTTAATGCATTTTTGAGGAATTGTGATGAGTTTTATCATCTTCTTTGAAGGCTTTAGTTTACATTGTCACTGTGTGTGTTTAATACCGTATTTGAATCCTAACTTGGAGAGCTACGGTTAGGAAGAACATCAAAACAGAGAGAAAGCTTGAAGTGATTTGAATGTGAACAAAAACAGTGTCATCTTTAAAGAGCGCGTAGCATTATGAAACAGAACAGTAGACTTTTTGCCAATGTCAGATGTCTTACAGTAGCTTGATTTGCTTTGACTTCAGTGCTTTTCCTTCAGTGTTTTGTTGACACCACCATATTGATTCTGAAACAGCATTACATTTTAAACACAGACTTTACATTTAGGTTGATAATATCTCCTGACTTTGTAAGAAAAGGGAAGATCCAAAGACATTTTTGGATGATGTAGATAACCACCAGACCTGCTGTGTGTCTGTATTCCAGGGAAACACAAATATTTTGCTGTTTCATCCAAGGGTGATTTCTGATTACTGAGCAGCAGGCATGGGATGATACTTTTTTTTTTAACAATTATCCTTGCCAAAATAATTGCAATTCATGTTATTATCCAGATAATCATCATATTATATTTAACAATCTAAAAATAGCACTAGAACATACTGGAATAACTGCCTTACAAAGATTTTTATTTCATCAAAGAAAAAACATTATCTCTTTAATTTGGGATCTAAATATATATACCTTTTTTTTAGGGGGATACAATGGGCAAACCAAGCCCTCCTTTATGGTGACAGGCTTAGGGTTTTGGAATAACTGCAAAGATTCAGCCTCCCCCTTGTGGCAACTGAAAAAGAAATCAGGAAATCAATGTTTATTATACGCTTATAAGCTTTATTTTTTTTAAATTAAAGTTAAAAAACTAGGCTCTTGCGCTGCACATGCTGCTTTGCTCCAAACAGGATTCTTTGAGGGGGGATACAGGGGAATCTTAGCAGCTAACTTTGGCTTAATTTTGCCAATAGCTTTTTTGCAAAAACTTTGGGGACAGCACAACAAGCTTTAAACACAACCTTGACATATTATCACCTTATAAAGTTGATAAGGCAAACATGTTAGCAGACGGTTGCCTAATTACACATAGAGCAGACATAAAGCAACCAATAACATCCTTTTGGAGTTGTGTTTCTGACCACTTGAGAATGTCCAGTAGTGTCTCTCCTTTTAGCTCCAGTTTGGTCTCCAATAGGGCTGTGTATTGGCAAGAATCTGGCGATACGATACGCATCACAATACAGGGGTTACAATTCAATATATTTCAAAACTGTTAAATAGGGGATATATTGTGATTTTAAAAAAATCTAAGATTTTATGCAATCAGAACAGTGGGATCATCCAACATCACAGCCCTCAGTTTATGTTTACAACACTGCTATCTAGGGGTTGGGGGCTCAAACACACAAATCAATACAGTGTTTTTTAGGATCAATACTAACACAAAACAAAATATTGCGATACTCAAGTGTATCGATATTCTCTTACACCCTTAGTCTCCACCGAACTCCTGAGACAAATATCTGTCTTTTTAGCTGCTAAATGCTCCACTATGTTCACCAGCTAGTCTCTAACTGTGTCTGTGTGCTGAGCAGGTAGAGAAGATGGAGTTGATCAGAGCTTTTCACCTAAAACAGCTGCCAGCGGCTAGGCTAACGGCTAAAGACAGCACCACGCTCAAGGTGAGTCGTGCTCTCTTTATCAGCTGGTTAACAGACCACATTATTACAGCCAACAGCGAGCGACTAAAGTTACTTATTGACAGTAGCTAAAGATTTGAATTGCGTTTGAGAGTCAGTATGGCAGTTTCAACAGAAAGTGGTGGCATTGTGAGTCATTGTAACAGGACAAAAAGCAGGTCAGTGTAATGATAGTTCAAAATGTTGGAAAACCTCAAAGACATTATGACACTGTACAAACAGCTGTGTTGTTCTTTAGTTTAGGACTCTACCATTCCATGATGATGCCTAATCCTTTATGACATTCCCTTTGTGTCAGTCGAACAGATGAAGTGCTGTCACACAGACAGCGGTGATTGTTTTGTGTGTTAAAATGTTTCTTGCAAACTTCAAGAGCGAAGCAACGCATGGCAGTGAGAAGTACCTGACTGACTAATTTGTTTTCTATAAAACTTCCTTGTAGATGTTCTCTTTTCATTGTGTGCATTTTTTGTATGATATGGGAAAAAAAACAAAGTTGTGTTTTACGTGAACTGCTTACGGTTTGCCATCGTTTTCAGGTCTAATGTTTCTTACAGACTTCTTTGCGATGTTTTAAGACAAAGTGCCTATCCTTTTAGATATACTGTAGAAAAAGATGCAATGTCAACTGTTTTCTAATGCATCCACACTTGAGTAGACGTTTGGTTCATTGTGTATGTAGCTCTGCAGGAAAACATGTTGTACAGAAAGCCTTATCTGCGAGCAGAGAAACGATGCCTACAGTACGCTTAAAAGACAGGAATGGAAAAAAACCTTCTGAAAGTTGATTATTTTTGTTGTTTTTGATAAACCATAAAACCATGTATGGGTGAGGGAACAAGAATTAACATTGTGGAAGCTATGCGAGCATTTAACTCTGAAAACTGCATAAATATATCAATCCAGTTACATTAATGCCAGTAACACAGTGTGCATGTTTAGATGCTATGACCACCTTGTAGAGTTTCTTTTTGTATTTTTGGTGAGGATATCACAGGGCGAGTTGGTCAGCTGGAGTCTGAAGGGGTGGGGGCGTGCACTTTCTGGTTTAGGATCCAGAGTAGCAAAAGGGGATCCAGTCTGACTCTTTATGGATATTTGAGTCAATCCAGGCCCTGTGTGTGTGTGTGTGTGTTTGTGTGTGGATTAAAAAACTAACACTGGTAAACTTCAGCTGTTATGGATGTATTTTTACATTTCTGGGTCCAGTTTGTTGTTCTGTGGTGGGTTTTTTCGTACTGATGGATAACTGGCAAAAAATTTATGTTGTAATGTCATTCCAGCAGCTACTGTAACATGGAGTGTGACAGCAGGAAATGTTACAGTGATCTGATTCATTCACATTACAGGCTTTGGTGTCAGAATGGAGAAGTTATTTTTTTTTTTGTAAAGGTGCTAGTTTGGACCAGGGTTCAAAATCCACACAGGGAGGAAGCTGATTGTAAAAGAGTGACTAACTCAACACCCACATTAGCAACAATAGCATCCTTAGCTGTGTCCTAATTCAATACCACATAGCGTATACGTATGTATTCTCAAAGATATCAGTATGCACACTAAATCTGCTTGACGCGCAAGAGAGCCTTTTTTAGGAGTCTGAAGGCCGGATTGTTAAAATGTGGCACTCACAACGTTGCCAAAGGTACGCACCGAGTAACAAATGTTTTTGTTGTCGGGCTCTGCGTATAATATCTGCAACATCTTTAAAATGAACTTGAGGAGCTACTCACAGCTGTAAACAGATTTTAAGAAATTAGGCTTGAAAATGCTTGAGGAGGATCGTAGAAAACAAAACAAAGCCCATTTTGCTCTCTTTCTTACATGTAATTGGCAGTGTCATTCCAAATTCACAGTTTTGTTGACGGTATAGTTTTTTTCAGCTGATCTGATAACTGATTTTTGCTTTGTAAAAAGAAGTTCATAACCTGTAGTTCATGCACACCTGGGAGTAGGAAATGTTAAATGTAGGCTAGTGAGCAAAGATCGATGATTAAATATCCCATAGCTCTGATCTAAACAAATCTGACCTCATATTGTTAAAACAACAAAAATATTTTGCATAGGAATATTGGCCTGATATATATCGTGCATCCCTAAAATTTCAAATGAGTACGAAATGGTAAAGTTCTTGTATATTATCTGAAAAAACACAGCTAGATTCAGGATTTTAAAGCTTGTAGGTTAAAAATGTATGATATGGTTTGGTAAGGACTGGTTAAAAGTAGTTCTAAAGACTTGTGGGAGATATATACAGAGTGGGATATATTACAGTGAATAAAATCAACTTGTCAGTGCTCTCCTGTGGAAAAACTATGTAATGGTGACACTATCTTTGGCATTTCTCTACTGACATTTCTTGTGATTTATTGACTGACATGAGCTAATATCAGTCAATATATCCCTGTACAAACTGTAAACTGTCAGCATGTTGTAAGGTCTTAGGACACAGCTATGTCCACATACACACTTTTGATTGAAGGCAAGGAGTTTATGCCTTTCACTGGGGCTTGTTTCTGGGAAATGTAGGAAATCCCTTTAGAACTGAAGCACTGTATAAGTAGGAGATGAGGCAGATGGCTCAGCTGTGTTTACAGCATTACATACTGCTTTAAACGTTTTAAAATAACCAAATCTCATCTGGCTCTGTGAGACAGGACCCTCCAAAAGATAAATTACAAATCACAAGCAACTCCTGAAATGTATAATACCACAAATTGATATCTAACAACGACCAGAAGTGGATCTGACAGTTTGTGGAGGATTACTTGCCAACACCTGTCCCTTCTGCTTCACTGATCTCTGCTCCCATTTTGAAGGAGGAAATTCTCTGGCTTTTGGATTTCTAAAAATACATCTTCCCAACATCTATCAGTGACAGAGCTCTGGAGGACTGTCTGCCCATGCCTGAAACTGCACTCTGCTCTAGACTGGTTATGTAGGCTGATCTACACAGAAAAAATATTTCTGATATGCAACTGGCTTGACACACACGACTGACGTCCATATCAGATTGTCTTTTGTAAAATCCATTGCTGCACTTTTACATGATGGCAAACTGCAACACGCAGGAAAGATTTAAACCTTTTCAGCAGCTGATTGGCTAGAAGGTATCTGTGAAGGATTTCTTGAGAGACCCAGCAGGTAGTCGGGGGGTGGGGGGGGGGGCTTGTTCAACCACAGCG